GAAAAAGTGTAACAGTGAAGATGTGATACGTGGATATAGGAAATGTGAATAGCCCAGGGCAGAAGAGATACCACAATTGTTTATTATACGTTTGGTCAACAGATCGGCTTCAATTTTCTCTTTGACGAGTTGTAGTATGGTGCTAAGAGTGGCAAAACTCATTGACAATGACGGCGAAACGCCTTAGAATGTACCCTATCCACGGTTCAACTTTGGAAATGATCATGCATACAATGGACTCCGGACAAGGTGTGTTTCCCTAGGTCTTCCTGCCAATATGACCAAGTTGCGAGAACAAGGTCAAACAGCTTCTATAAAATGAAAGGAGACTGCGACCACGCAAGAGGCCACACCATCTTGGTCTTCATATCTCCGATTCCATAAGCACGTTTGCCTTTCTTGACAGTGGTCTAATTAACTTTTACGTATAACTATATAAGTATTCATTTTCATCATATGCAATGTTGCTCTTTTTTCAGGTTTTCCTGAAATTTTGATGTACTAGGCCAACCTTAACTCACTAAAAGCTATTCAGCTACTATTAAGTCCCCCGGATCCCAAAATGTTATGGATTCTGTAAAACAAATTTTTTTGAGCATGGTTAGCACGATATATACTATTATTTGTCATGACAACTGTTTTTCTGACTTATTTTGTAGGACACTGTCCTAGAATTGCTGAAAGACGCGATGGCCAAGTGCATCGGTAAAAATTGTAATTTCCTGATCGACGGCTATCCGCGGGAACTGGAGCAAGGAGTTCGCTTCGAGAACGAGGTAACTGACCTACACATCTGATTTATGCATTTAACACGAGTTTCGTTTCTTTGATGTTTTTGCTGATGCATCCGAGCGGCCAACAAACAATTATGCTGGCCAATTGCGCGAAGTGTACTTTTTTGCTAAAAATGCAAGAGTCCTCAAATAAACTGACTTGACTGTCTCGTGTTTACACGCACGTGAACACATGCATGTTGTTAACTCACTGCATGCTAAGTTCATCACAAATCGCATTAACACAATGCAAATCTGAGCAAACGAAGAGTGCACATGGGCAGGCTGGGTAGCATCCTACTCTTTTTGAGCTGCATGCTCGTGTATGCAGATGTAGGGCGTCTGTTAATAATTGGATTGCATAAATAAAATATACTTGGCCTTTGAGGAATATCTACTTATATTAGAGGTGAGTTGCATTTTGTGGGAAAGTATGTGATCAAGAGGTCAATAGGTTGATCTTACCAGAAGATTACGTAGGATTCTCCGGGTTCTGTTGCCGTTTGATTTTACCGCAACGTTGAGGATAACTAAGTCCTCTATGCGCATTCCTTTTCCAGTTAAAACATGTCAACATACGACGTGCATTATCAAATCATGGGCGTATTCTCATAGCGTCTTTGAGCTTATACTTCAAGATTTTCACCCTAAGGACATTGCGATCACGTTACCTCAGTATTTTTATGGTCTAGTTACCTGTATAATTAAGATAACCAAAACTGAGAATACCTAGAAATGTCTAATAATGAACCTGATCTACTTTTTTATTAAAACTTGTAAGCTTGAATGAATTCATATGCCCCTTCCTGTTGCTGGTTCTCTAATGTAGGGGTGAAAATGTCTTCCTTTCTACCTATTCTTATTTCTCCCATTCTCAAAGAGTATTGTTCGCAGAATGCTCGGGACATTTTCTAAGTTATTAAGCCACCAGAAGGAGCAGTGGTTGCGTGAATGCATTACTTCTTTTACCAATGCTTGGCCCTAAACGGTTTTTGTCATTTTCCTAATGTACTAAAATACTTGCATTATCTGGCTGGCCCTTTATCTTGTCACTTGACTGATATCCTATATGAGAGTAAATCATCATCGCTCTGACCAGGTCAGTGACTACTTTGACGTGCATTGCAGAACGGCAGGGCTGGCTGACACCTTGCCGACTGGCGCTGATGTGATATACCGTCTTGGTAAAGACATCAATACTAATAAACCTCGTATGTTCTTTATTGCCACTTTCAGATTTGTCCTTGTGTTTGTATGTTGGCCTTCGACGTTTCCGAAGAGGTGATGCGGCAAAGGCTTTTGAAACGTGGCGAGACTAGTGGAAGAGCTGACGACAACGAGGATACTATCATTAAACGCCTTAAGGTCTTTAACGAATTAACAAAACCAGTAATCGACCATTATTCCGAACGAAACAAAGTCGTGTTGGTAAGTTTCTCTTTCCTGTTTTTTTAAATTACCTAATTGGTAATTTACGATGACACTTAAAAAGTGCTTCGTTAAGAATACATGCTAATTTGATTTAGTTTTGCCATCAATTGTTATTTTTACCAGTTCGAATTAGCTATTTGAACTTAGCTTATACTACTATTCATTTATAATGCTCTTTATAAGGACTATGGGTTAGTTGGAGCTTTATCCTTCTTGTGAGGGCTTAGCCTACATACATTCTGGTGTTAAATTTTCAATAGAGGCATTCAAATTCGGGGCAGGCCAATCTTATTTCACTATAATTTACATGCCTTAAAAATGTTTTTTTTCAAGAATAACTCTAAATGTTTAGTGAAGGTTTGATCTTGTTTTCGAAATTTGGTCTAAGCGTCAGACAGACCTTTGGAACATATCTAGTCTCATGTCCTCTACCATGGTATTCGTGATTTCCAGCACTGGACCATTGGCTAGGTACATTCCCAAACGTTTCGCCGGCATCGTCAGTGAGAGGCGCCATCGTAAGCACAGAGTTAGAACTTATCAAAATGACCTCGTTGTAGCATCAATCCTCGCCCATATTGTTGTTCTACTTTCTAGTGCCGCATCTATTTCTCTCAAACCCACTTATTCACACAATTCTGTGCTCTCATTTCCTCCGATGTCGCCTTAGAGTGTCGCTAACACTAGGTTTAATGAAACTTATTCATCTCCATCACCAGTACCAGGTATCGTTTACAGGGCTCCTCACTTACATTCTGCAACCTCCATTTTCTTACCCACTTGCCAATTGGTCGCTGTTATACATCAGAATCACTGTTTGGCTGTCTGAAATCTAGCTGCCTAAGAGCCTTCAATTGCCATCATCGATTACGCCATATTCAAGGATTTAGAGCAGATGATGCCAATGACAGTGCCTGTGAATCTTCTTCTCCTTAGGCTTCAAACCCATGACTCAGTTATCCTCTCCCTCATCCCCAATCATATTGTGCCTCATTCTTTGGAGCCCTGTGTCCGACTTGAGTCGTAACCACTGGTGTGAAAATGCACCGCTTCCCTTTTTTCCTTTTAATCGAGAAAAGTACACTTCTCTCGTCTCTCAAGCTGACATTCCCATCTAATTGTTGAGCTTACTTCCATTTCGAGTGAGAGTGTTCGCTGAAGAGATTCGAAGGTCGGTCCAACCAAATGACGATAACGGATTCCTCTTGACCAGCTGTCGATTGGCTTTACTTAAACATTCTTGTTGACGCTGTTTCCGAGTTAATCTCCCTTGATTCCAGTGAAAAAATGCTAAGCTTTCGTCCGTCGTATGACGAACGTCATCGGAGCAGAGTATCATCCTTACAACCAAATTCAAGCTATCGAGTCAAGAAAATTCATCGGCTCATCAATAAAAGTTGTATATACACTATATATCCGATCTCTTTGATGAAGTATAACATGATTTGGTTAGTTCCAGTGATGTGTCAAT